AGAAGCTTTCGACCATGTGGTGGGTATGTTTATTTTTAGCAGTCGTGTACAATGGTGCGAGCCAGCCCTCATGATCTTATCGCTATCAAAAATGGTTTTATATGACACGTTTCTTATCACGCGCTTTTTCATTAATTTCTACACACGGCGCCTTCGCACTTGCCCAGCTCATTACAACCTTAGTTAATTTGGACGGTAACGCCATGTCTGCTGCTCGGCATCCTCTGTAAGTTCGCTTAAACCTTTTCCTTTCAACTGAACTCTAACCATGTGATTTGCTTCGCAAACAGAGCCACGGTTTTTCTCCTACACATTGCGTTGGAAGCTCCAATTGCTGTTCAGGGCGTATGGTCTCCTGCAGCACTTCCCTTCATCCAACTCAACAACACCGCCCTGGTCATAACGAAGGCGCGCTCACCGGGTTCTGCTACTTTCATTCCAACTGACTTCCTCGCGCGTTTCAGCTTTACTCGGCATTGGTGTTGGCTTCATGCCTTACGTCTCTCCTCTGCTTCTCCCTTCCTGGTTCGTCAATCCTCGAAACTATACACGTCCAGTTGACATCAAGAATTGATAACCAGAATTCCTCCCCGGAAAACGCGCTCTAGCAATCGGACTCTGTGTATATCACACAACGGCATCTACAATCCTCTTCCAGTCTCCGCGCTTCATCCCGCACACCTTTGGACCCATATTCGAGATGTACGTTGTCCCTTATCCCCCAATTTTTTGTTCTTGTCGGGAGAATACTCCTTTTACTTTTGTCGTACAGGTACAAGGTGACGCCAGAGATTGTATGGGGTACGTTACATGGGTTTGTCGGGCTAGGTATGGTCGCGTGGTGGCAGATGACGCTGCCGTTGACTGCTGCGGCGCGGGCAGCAGCGCGCAAGTGACACAAAATGTGTATTTGTGCATCGATAGTTGCATACTGGTACTTGTTGAGGAGCGACGTGGTTACATCGTGTTGACGTTCATAGATGGAATTTGTATGGAGCAAGGTAAAGGCAACTTGTAGTATTAGAGCTTGCCAATTGCAAAGGTCGGCACGGTATTGATCATCCTTGAATTTGAATTGTCAAGCTGAGCGCCTATTTATTATTGTGGATTACGAGAAACAAGAAATGCCATTTCTATAGGGTTTAGTGGACATGGCACAGAAAAGTGCACACGATGAGAAGGTGGAAGAAGCTAAGAATTTTTAAAGTCCGGAACCTAGTTCCAATTATGATAATATGTCAACGCAACAAGCGCCACATCATGATGGTTCGCAAGTTGGCGAGATACATTATTTACACTAAACCACGGCGGAAATGCGTCACTCATGTGCTGATCCGGTGCATTTGCAAATGGGTACTTGCCAGTGGTGACGAGGCCAGGTGAGGAAAGTTCCCACTGTGGTCTGCTATTGAGAGGGATCTTTTTTTTTTTTTTTTTTTTTCCTTTTCCAGTCGGTTCCAAAGAAATGGGGATGAAAATACATTTTTGTGAGATAATAAGCATAGTAGGGATGACCATTGGATTCAATACAACAAGCAACCTAGAGGGCAAAGAAAGCATGTTGACCTCAGATGCCTGCAGATCTCAGACTTTAGAATGATTGCGTTTGAGGAACATTGCTGTTCAACATTGAATCTCGATGTTTGAGTTTGGTACAGCTGGAGGCCCTTTTTAACTGCTCCTATGACTGTTCCCAGTGCCCCCTTTATGGTAGCATCTTTCTTGCAGGTCTAGAATAGAGCTGCAATTGACGGATGGTGATGATCATTCAGTTCTCCGAGTCGGAGTCTGTGCCACAATAGAACATTGATTGCAGCGCAGAGGCTGAGATAAAGGTGAGAGCCTGTAAGTTTGAGGATGAAAGTGTGATTGTAGTAGGATGAGATTGATCATCTTGCCAGGAGAGGATGAATCTATACTTGGCAAGGGAAAGCTGTCTGAAAAGTAGTGTGTCAATCATTTCTCACTTGTGCGTAGTCGACTTACCGAATGAAGTGTATCGTTCAATTGGCTTATCAACTCGGATCGTCTGCTTACCCGGTCCAACACAAGGTATAATAAAGAGATACGCCGGGTGCCGACGAAACCGAGCTGCACTGGAAAGCCGGACAAGTGACGAATGCTGATGATCATTCCATTGTCCGAGTCGGAGCCTGTGCCACAAATTGCAAAGCGCAGAAAATTGCTCCGAGCCGAGATAGGCGAGCGAGTTTGAGGATGGACGTTTGAGCGTGAGGTTGTGGAGATTTATCATCTTGCCGGCGATGATCGATACTTGGCAAGGAAGGCGCGATGTGTACATGGAGGATAGTCGACTTACCGTATCGTTCAATTGACTATTAACTCGGGATTGTACGCTGACTGCAGGCAAAATCAGGCCGGCTGAAGTCTGTCCACGAAACTTTTCATTCAATTCCAACATGTTGATGGACCTCAATTGAGATTTGCGTGAAGCTCGTTCCGCCGAGTCTTCTCGCTCAAGTTGTACACCAGTGATGATGAGGTCAATCGACGAAGACTAGTACCATGATATTTTCTAGGACTTTGACATGCATGGCAGCTTCGCGTCAAGCGCGGGTATTTCGAAAGCGATATTACAGACAAGTACAACGACGCCAAACCACTGCAAAGCTTCGCGACACGGCGTTTTTAGAGTGGGCGTGTCCACGGATGGTTGCCGGTGGTGGACAAGAGTAGTATAATGTGGAGCGCGCGCTCAGTAGCGGATAGCAGGGAGAGGGTCGGCGCGGATGGTAGAGAGGTCGACTGCCGAGTCGATTGCGTCGTCAATCTCGCCGATGAGGGTGCTTGGAGGTGAATGAGTGTTGGAATGAGAAAGAGACGCGTGGAGGGACATACACCATGTCGCCTTTGACGAGGTAGAGACCGAGGGGGATCTCTTCGACGCCCTGGTCGGTGCTGTAGAGACGCTCCTTGGAGTCGGCGAGGACGACGTTGGACTTTTGGTCGTAGCCGGCGAGAGTGCCTACGATGGCACGGCCGTCTTGGAGGATGAGGAGGACGCGACCTGGGAATGGTGAGGAGAGGGGGCAGTGAGGGGAAGACTTGCTTGGCTTACGGTCGACATAGCCCTGGAGACTGGACATGGGTGGAAGCAGTGTGACGGTGTCACAGGCACGTGTTGGACTCGCGTCAAATTCTGACTCTGAGGCCTCCATCTTCTCTTCCACCATGCCGTCGCCCACCGCCGAGTTTGAGGAGAAGCAGCTTTTCTTGCCGCTGCCGTCGCCGGCCTCCGCACCGCCGCCCAAGCCCAAGCTCACCGCCGCCACCATCATCCCCATCTGGATCGTCCTCTCCTCCGCCGTCATCATCTACAACAACTACCTCTACAACTCTCTCTACTTTCGTTTCCCCGTCTTTACCGTCACTTGGCACCTCACCTTTGCTGCAGTCGGCACACGCGTTCTCCAGCGCACTACCCGCCTTCTCGACGCCACTCGCGACGTCCACATGGACAGGCCTCTCTTCCTGTCTCGCATCCTCCCCATTGGCGTCTTGTTTTCCGGCAGTCTCGTCTTTAGCAACACTGCCTACCTCTACCTCAGCGTGTCGTACATTCAGATGCTCAAGGTGCGTTCTAGCCGAGCAACCGTCCGAATTAGACGACATCAATTTCATTCCAGGCTTTCGTCCCCGTCGCCATTCTCCTCATATCATGGGCCGCACGCATCCAGGAGCCCAACCGCAGACTCCTCCTCATAGTCCTCATGATCTCCTCCGGCGTCGCACTCGCCTCGCACGGAGAACTCCATTTCCATCTCGGCGGCTTCCTCATCCAGGCCGCTGCTGTCCTCGTACGTGTCTCTCTTTTTTTTTTCCGTGCATAATTGCTCACCGGTCACTAGTTTGAAGCATCCCGCCTCGTGCTCATCCAGATGATCCTCCACAACCTCAAGATGGACCCCCTCGTCTCCTTGCACTACTATGCGCCCGTCTGTGCAGCTATCAACCTCTGCATTCTACCTTTCACCGAAGGTACGTATCTATGCTCTCCTTCCGTCCCGCACGACGTTCCTCCCTGCTCCGCTCCCATCCGTGACATTGACACATCCATTGATTTCCTCTTTTAATGACCGGCCAACCGACTGACCCATCACCACAGGTCTCGCCCCCTTCCGTGCCCTCTCCACCCTCGGTCCCTTTATCCTCCTCTCAAACGCACTCGTCGCGTTCCTCCTCAACGTCGCTGCCGTCTTCCTCGTCGGAGTCGGCAGCGGGCTCGTTCTCACCCTCGCCGGCGTGTTCAAGGTTCGTTTTCCCTCCCCCCTGCCTCTCCGCCCCGCTGACCCACCCACAACAGGACATCCTCCTCATAACAGGTTCCGTTGCCCTCTTTGGAAGCCACATCACACCGCTCCAAGTCTTTGGGTACTCGATTGCGCTTGGTGGCTTGGTGTTGTTCAAGACGTCGGGTGGGAAGTAGGGCACCCTCCCAAAAGAAAAAGAATGAAAACTAATCAAGGACTCGAATAAACGGACTCTCGTGTTCTTCCTCCCTCACTAACGGACTTGTGAACTCTCCTAGACTTTTTTTTTTTTTTTTTTTTTCTCCTACTTTCTTACATATCTTACCCTCATCCTTACCAAATAGATAGCGATATCATCTCTCTATACCTAATTAACCTACTAGTACCACTGTCTCATGCCTCCTTTCCTCTTCCGTACCTGTACCTGTACCTGTACCCCTCCCTCCCTGACCGATCTGCGTGCGGGTTCTGTCTTACACCCCCGGCCGTCAACGTCAACCAACTCAAAAATCGACAAAATCAACGTTATTCGCCAGTGCATATAGAGTATATACGTAGTTAGTCCTCGAGCCTCTTTAGTGGTTGTCTGTTCGTGTTGTATATATGGGTGCGTGTGCGTCGATGAATGGTATAGCTTTTTTGTTATTGCTGGTGCGCGTGGTATGAGTGGTTGAAGAAACGCAACTCGTAGTGAAAAGAGAAAAGTATCAGGTATACCCCTGATATTTATTCCCTCTAGCCGACTTGAACGACTGACCTCGTCATGCATAATCCCCCATCGACATACTAGTGACGCGCTCTACCACTGAGCTAAGAGGGATGATGATATTGACGAGATGAGCCGGATGAGAGGGCGTCACAAAGCCATGTTGTATAATGTCCCTCGGATTGAACGACTGAAATGGCGGGGTAGTACTAGTGACTCTGGCTGAGGTAAGAGGATCCAGTCATATGGTGCTTCTTTTTTTTTTTTTTTGAGCGAGGTCCAGCGAAAGAAAGGAGGGGAGATTCAAAATTCCACGCAAAAAGGAAGGTAACATCAGAATTAATTTAGTTCCCACTAGCCGGATTGAACGACTGACCTCGTCATTTTGTGTGGATACAAGTGACGCGCTCTACCACTGAGCTAAGAGGGAAGTGATGTTGCGTCGACGGACGATTATGGGATGCCTGTCGAGGCCATGGATTTGTCCGATCGTGGGAGGTTCTGCGTAAAGAAGTGATTCACAGGCGAGAAAAACCAAGCACAGAGATTTATGCATGCAAAATAAAAATTGTATTAAACCAGGAAACACACAGCTATTCCCTCTAGCCGACTTGAACGACTGACCTCGTCATGCATGATCCCCCGTAGAGATACTAGTGACGCGCTCTACCACTGAGCTAAGAGGGATTATACCAATATTCGTCTTGGCTCATGCTACGAACATCGAGACAATCTAGGTGAGTAGCTTGCTCTATTTTTCAACGTAATCATGGAGAGGCAAGGAAACTGTAACAGACTGAGAACGTTGTAGAAGTCGACGAGATCGAGTCTTTCCCCACCAAACCCAGAGGAAGCTCCATTAGCTAAATCTGTGTCAGAGTCACCATTGGCCGAGCCCGAACGAGATGGTGGTTACCTGTCAACCCGATTCCCGAGGCAGAGGCTGAGGAGGTAAGTCTTGATATCGTGCTACGCTGATGGGTTTGGTTTCTGTTCAGCCTTTTTTTCTGTTGTCTTTTGCCCTTTCGCCAGAGGCTGTTCCCAATTGGGCAGCGATTGGTAACAGAGGCCGTTCCGGACTGGGTGGAAGTGGCCAAAGCTGATGATCCCCTTGTAAACTGCCCGTCAAGGCTCGTTCCCAACCGGCGACGTCAAGATTTCGCGCATCTGAGGCTCCCTCTCACGGGCAAAAGCTGATGCGAACGTGAGTTCTTGACGCCGAGTCTGATTTCGTCCATCTAGTGAACTCACACTACCACCAGCATAAATATTTCGCGTATAATATATCAAACCCTATTGCGTACACACCTTTCTGGAATTGTTGCCCGTTACTAGTAAATAGATATTGTATATATATAATAATACAAATGCTTGAATAGATGTCGTTACAGTCGAATGCTTGATGTCGCGTCGTGAGGGTATGAATGAATATACATAGAGTCGGATCGTTTCGTGTGGTGATTTTGGGTAATGTTTGGTTTGTCAAAGTTGGCGAAATGAGATTCACCAATTTGCCTGTCTCGTCATCTCCCAAAACGAAGGCGTATGGCCAAATATGACAACGTCCCCACTATGAGTAGTGTTAACGCAATAGTCTTGGAACCGATGACCGACGTTTCATGTTCAACCTTCACGTATCAACTCAATATATAGTCCGCGAAATTGAGTTATAAAATGCTTACCACGGACGCGAATGGCGACAAGATAGGTATGGTAAAGTGCGAAGATGCATTTCGAGGAGTCGTGTGAGAGGCGTAGAGATATACAACCACCAACGTCAGTATGGCAATGAGGACTAGAAGAAAGATCTATAAGCGTAAGATGCAGCATGTACAAAGTAATGTAATCAATAATGGATACATACCACAAGCCACTCTAATCGAGCAATCCTCTCGTTGTCCTGCTTTCTAGCCACATTTTCTGAGATATACTCCTAAGCTCACAGAAGGACTCGTAATCACTTGAGATTGAATGGCTGAAGAACGAACTTACAAAATTGTAGGAGGCATTACCGCGTACATGCTGCGCAAGTTGTAGTTGTACCTCTGCAGAGTGCGCACGCATAGTCCAGTATTGAATTTCCTTTGATGCTGACGCTGTGACGCCCGTTTCATGAACAGTTACAGGTTTGTCATGAACCCAAGTTCGCAAAGTGCGCTGTTGCGGTATTGGACCATCGTTGGCTCGCGATGTCGTAGGCTTGAGAGATATAGATAAGTCTTTTGCAAGTTTCATTGTGCGAGAAGTCGACCGCCCAAAGATACCAGATGGGCTCGTCGTTTTGCGAAGTGTGCTCATCTTGAGTTGAAGACAACCTGTGGTCACGGGACTACAGTCGCATTGCGGTCGCTTTACAGTCGCGTGTGTTCTCGATATCGATATGGCCGTTCACGTTATCATGGATGTTCAGATGGCGTCCTTGCGATCGGGGCGAGGAATTTGAAGGAGTATCTCTCAATTTCCCAAGTTTACATGCTAAATAAATAATATTGATAAAATCCCCTGTACCATCAAAACATCATGAATCGTCATCGTTTTCCTCAACCTCTCCTGCCTCATATATGATATTTAACATTTCCTGGAGGACTTCTGCTTCTTCAAGATATCCTTCTTCTCTATCAACATCTCTCCAACCAAGATCAATTGCCGCCTGCAATTTTTCGCGTGTCGCTTGATGCGCGACCCTATTCCCTTGTTGGATCACTCTCGTTGCGATTCTGGTCATGCGTTCCCAGCCAGGATACCTGACCCGCCTCGACCAATTGGAAAACGACTCGTGTCTTCCTCTTCTTGACATACGATATCTATTACCCAACACTCTCGCCGTCTTCTCTATAATAATGCGCCGGCCAATGTGATAGAGATCTCTCTGATCCTGAAAAAACACCCCAACTTAATCAACACCAATCATCAGAATAAATTGAATCGATCCATACAATCTCTGTTATTTCGGCTGTCCAGTCATAGTACCGCTGTAAATGTTGAAGTCTGCCATTTTCGTTCCGAACTTGTTGAAGCTCAACAAGAATACTGACGATCCGCGACTCAAGGCTGGTTCTCGCCATCCTCAAACGGGAATCCTCGTCCCTCAGCTCCTGGAGATCTCTGATCAAGTCGGAGCTATGTCTCCTCAGTCTCTCCGAGTCGGCTGTCGAGTCTTCAAGCAAATTGAGCAATATCCTATTTTCCTGCTCCAAATCAGCATTTTCCGTCCGCAAGTTCCCATGACCAAGTGTGTCCCTTGTCACGTATAGCCCCTCGGTCCCACGTGGCTCAGACATAACATCGAGCAACCGTTGAAACCAATTTCGTTGTTGAAAAATCTCGATATCGTCAGCTAAAGTTGAATTCTGGACTTTTTTTTTTGATGAATTCGTTATGAAGTGCCGATGGTATGGGCGCTGTAATGCAATTTACCTCTTACTTGTTGATTGAATACCGTCTCCTCCATCTGAGAGGGTCTTGTCTCCTTTGCGCCCATCCATGCGTCTGGCGTAAGGGGCCATCCAACCCATTTTGCCAAAGATTCACTCCAACTTTAGGAGGACATTTCAGTTGGTTGAGCATCGTCAGCACTAGCGATAGACTGAAAAAGTAGCATCGCTGGTAGCCCCTGACAAGGACAGTGTTAGGATCGGACCCTGATCACAGACGGCCATTGTCCCCACTCAACACCTGGCCACCAGAATACTGGCCAAAGTTCCCGTGAGGAGGAGTGTTAGGATCGAACCCTGATCACAGACGGCCATTGTCCCCACTCAACACCTGGCCACCAGAATACTGGCCACCGACATCTATCACACTTTCACTGTCACTTTGCTTTGTCTCTTTATTCCATCATTGTCTTTCTCTTATCTCTTTACTACTCGACCCTTACATACATTTACATATATATACGAACGTCTGTATGCGATACCCTCAGTCACTTATACGAGACTGAGGGTACGTAACAACTTATACCTTTCTCTTATAACGCTAACATATCGTACCTAT